CAAATCATTGATGAAGATGTTGAAGAGTACTGGGCCCAAAATAGAGCCCTGGGGCACCCCACTACACACTTCCCTCCATGTAGATACGGTTCCATTGGGGACCACATGCTGAGTATGGCCAGTTAGCCAGCTATGGATCCATCTGGTGGTGATGCTGTCTAACCCACATTTTTCTATCTTGTCAAGTAGTAGGTTGTGATCTACTTTATCAAATGCCTTACTGAAGTCCAAGTAAATTATATCCACAGCATTCCTCTGATCCACTAATTTTGTTACTTGGTCAAAGAATGCAATAAGAATTGTCTGGCATGATCTGTTTTTCACAAACCCATATTGGCTTTTAGTAATGACTTTGTTTGCCTCTAGGTGTTCGCTGATTCATTGTTTGATTATCTTTTCCAGAATCTTCCCAGGTATCGAGGTCAGGCTGATAGGTCTGTAATTTCCTGGGTCCATTTTTTCCCCCTTTTTTGAAGATGGGAAATAGTATAGGGTTTCCTGCCTGAGCAGGAGGTTGGAGTAGATGACCTCCAAGGTCCCTTCCAACATTATTATTATTATTATTATTATTATTATTATTATTGATTTGCTTATTGACATAAGCTGCAGGTGCACTTATAAAGGAGCAGTTAGAAACTAATAGATATTTGTACTGTTTTAATCATCATTTCTTTTTCTTTTCTTAAACAACAAATAGTGGAGTTTTGGACATTTAACTCAGAGATTTACATTCTTACATATGGCTAAAAAAATAATTGTAAAATGGAATTTATTTTTATGGTTAATTTCTAATCAAATACACACTTAATTCTAGCCATATGGTAATTCTTTTGTCCAGTTAAAAATACTGTATTTCTGTACCAATTTTTATTTTATTTCTGTTCTCCTTTTGCCTTCTTGTATGCTGCTTTTAAAAAAAAAATCATCAATTTAAAAAAATTAAACAAAGTCTAATTTGCTTTGCATATTTAAGACAAACTGTTCTGTCCTGATTTAATTGGATTTGAGTAGGAAGCAGGGGAGCATTTCAACTCTATATGTTAATGTTATTATTTTAAAATAATTTAACACAACTTTATTTAAAAAAATAATAATATAATGCTGTATTTACACAAAAGGAAGGGTTAAAAATGATTCCCCCTAAGAAAGATTAAAGATGAAAAACTCATACCCAATTATAGTAGTTTTTCATTTCAAAACACTGGCGTTTTCAGAAACCGATTTAAGTTTATTATGTACTTTGATGTTCTTCTGAAATGGCAACATGAAATAAGACATTTTGCAAAAAAAAATAAATGGAAAAGATAGATGGAAAGACAATAAAGAGCCATTTTTAACTGCCTGTCTATTACTGAAATGTCATGTTGGGGTCAGATAATCTCCTGCAGGTGAATACATGAATCAGCCTCCAGACTGGAAATGTTCAAAGCTTGGTATACTTTTGCCAGAGATAGCTTGCCCAAGGCCACTTGCCTCTTAACTTATAAAAACTGATCCAAGCCAGTTCTATGGAAAAGCTGCTTTAAATTTAATTTGAAATGAAACTGATTTTAAAAACTGTAATTTTACATGGCTAGTTTATAGTAACTGGATTCCTCGAAGAATCTTCAAACATTAATCATTAGAATTAAGATATGAAAAGCAACGAAAAATGCTTGTCTGAGTTAGATAGACCAGAATGATCATTTTGCTTAGCAAATCTCTTGCTCCCTACTGGTACAGAGTGCAGTTTTTGGCTGGTTAGCTCAGGCATTTCAACAAGGCAAGAGGGGGGGGGGGAAGCAAGTTACTCAAGTGAATAATTAAGATAAAACCTGTCAATTTCAATCAGGCTGAAAAGAAGCAATCCTTCCCAAAAATGCTGCAAGCTAATCCAAGGTAAAGGTGAAATTGTAACAATAATGTATGACAAAAGCTCAGTAGATTTCCATATAAATGGTAAAAGTCAGGATATTTTAGGCTCCTAAGACTAGAGAGAATGGGCCCAACAGAAAGTAAGAAAAACTTGTATTGCGTTAATTGATCAGATACAAGTGTGTTTCAATTTTTTGGCCCATGGGCTCAAAAAATGTGGTTTTGGCACTGAAGTTAGCTTCATTACTATAATGGGCTGACACATCCGCTACAGCCAGTAGAAATACCATTTCCATAGCAAAAATTTCCTATTCTGTTACGTTTAACAATGTTTCCCCAAAAAGTAAAATAATTGCTTGCCTGCCTGCCTGCCTGCCTGCCTCCCTCCCTCCCTGGAATATGGGAAAGTAAAATTCCTAATATGGTTATTGTACATATGCTATAGTGGTAGAGAAGAGCTTCACAAAAAAATAATGCTACTATCAATGGTGGGATTCAGCCAGTTTGCACCAGTTCGGTAGAACTGGTAGCTAACTTTTTGTTGCCCAGGCCCAGAACGGACTTCCGGAAGCGGCATCCACACAGAGAACTGGTTGTTCACATATTTGAATCCCACCACTGGCTACTATGGATTTTTAAGTTCAATGATGCATTCCTAGTAGGATCTTCAAGTACCTATATAACTTGTGAACTATTTAAGTCAGTATACAAATACAAATCTGAGTATAATTTTGTCTTCAGGTTGCCTCAGAAAAAAGACAACCTGAAGACAAAATTATACTCAGATTTGTATTTGTTTACTGACTCTGTCCTGTGACTCTTTCTTTCTTATTTACTTGGAAGATTTACCTTTCAGCTGACTGCTTATGAAACCTCTCAGTCATCCAGGCAGTGTTGTCTGGAAGTTGAGTCACGTCCACTGGACTTCTTTTCTTTTTTTGGTTGGAAACGTTTTGCTCCTTATCCAAGGAGCTTCTTCAGGATAAGCAGTGAAATATTTCAACCCCAAAAGAAAAGAAATCTAGGTGCCGCGACTCAATTTCTTCTTATTGTGGTTTACAACTGATAATCCTAAATGCTAGTGATGAGAGCTGGACACCCCCTCCCCACTCCAACGAAGGAATAATATGGGAAAACCCCAAGACAAACTAACCTGGGTCAACAGCAGCCTGAGGCTAAATGGCAAACACTTGACACACACAATGAGGAACCAGCTAGCAACAATCAGGATTAACAAATACACAACAATAAAAGTAATTAACACCTTTTAGGCAGGATTAGCAAAGAAATTTAACCAACAGTAGTCACTGACCAGCAAATCAGGAAAGGCAGATTCAACCTCACCAATCAGAAATGACAAATTTGGAAACCACAAAAAGGTATAAAAACCCATGTTTAAAGATCATTCTGTCTAGCTAGCCGGGGACTCGAGCTGAATTGTCACTCAACTTTGAGCCTCGTGATTAAACCTCTCTTTCCGATAGCTGGCTTCACGATCTATTTCTTCCGCACTGCGCCGTCAAGGAGAATCCCGGCTGGAAGAACTGAACGGGGGAGTTCCTCCCATCACTAGTTTACAACGAACCCATCTTGTTCCACACATAGATGCTGGAATGAACAGCTCAAAGAAGCCAAAATGTGCCATTTTGTGTTTTTAGGAGAGCTGTCAGTTGACCCCCCAGTACTGCTTGTGAGAGGGAAACAAGCTTCTAAAGCTGCTAAATCTCTACAGTGGTTGAAACCTAGGGACAGAGAAGTTCTCCTCTGAGAAGAAGGGGCTCAACAAATCTCTGACAGGCAAAGGTTTAATCTCTTGGCGTCCTTTTCATTCATCCTGAGAGCAGCACAAATCAGAGTTTTTAAACATACTGATTCAGTGGGACTAAGCCGGCCTTGTGAGATTAAGCCTATCTCAAACAGCAATTCTGAACATTTTAGTGAGGACAGCATCTACTTATTTCATCAGCTTTCCAGGACACTTTATGCATATGATAGAGAAGTGAATGAAAGCTTAAATCATCATCATCATCATCATCATCATTTAAAGTCCCATTGCATTTTATGTAAATTTAACTAGAGCAAACTATAAAAGTATTTGTGTCTGACCATGAGTATTGTTGTGGTTAATGTTATCTTTTTAAGCCCTGCACTAGGATCCAAAGGCATTTTAATATACCAGGTGTGGACTGATACCTTTTGAAAAGAACATTTGGTTCAATCCTCTATGTAACAACACTGCTGGATTTATTTTTTAAGTTTACTTATTGCACTTATATCTGACCCTATCCCTAAACCTATGTGAATATCTTTGCATATTATTCAGATAATAACCCTATGAAAGTTTGGCTATTCTGAGAAATAATTATCACAGAATCTGGAGGCAGAGCCTGCTGATCTTTCAGAAAGCCAGTCCAAATAGTCAGAGGATCTCTGGATTGGTCAGAGAAAGAAGGAAACCATTTATTTTCTGCTCACATAGGCCTCGTCCTTACTGGAAGATGCTGGGGAGTAGGAAATGGGCAGCCACAGAACAGAAAGAGGACTATCTTGTGCCATGTGTTTTCAATTTCTTTTCTTTTAAAGAAATCTTACTCATAGGTTATTCAGGGAGTCAGCTGCTGAAGTAGGAATGGGGACAGACATATGCTAGTCCTCCCTAAAGCTCAGAGGCTGCCTGGATGACCTTGGGACAAACACTCCCTCACAACCCAAATCAGGACAGGGCTCTAGAACAAGCCAGCTGATAAACAAAACCCTTCATTACATCATGCACTGATAGTGATGCTGTGAGAACTAGGCAGGTGCAGTGCAAAACAAGTAAACTCTGCAAAGAATCCAGGAAGAACAAAACATGAAGATAAAAGAACACCTATGCAATTATGTTATTTGCACCTCTATTAAATGCCCACCAAGAGAAGCTCTAGGGCAGGGGTTGGCAACCTTGGCTCTTTTATGACTCGTGGACTTCAACTCCCAGAATTCCTGAGCCAGGCTGGCTCAGGAATTCTGGAAGTTGAAGTCCACGAGTCATAAAAGAGCCAAGGTTGCCTACCCCTGCCCTAGACCCAACTCGTCTGTGAAGGCCCATGTTGAAAGAAAACCCTGAGGAGGAATGCAGAATTAGGAAAGGAAGGAGGAGACTCTACCTGTTCAGTCTGAAGATCGCTTCTTTCTTCCAAATACTTCCTGAAGGGGTTTGGCTGGACAGGCTCTTCTTCTTTTATCGTTATTTTTGCTTTTACGGTTGTTGGTCGGATTACTCCAGGCTTTGTCTAGTAGTGAAGAAAGAACACAATATAGAAATATTAAATAAGTCATACACCGGAATGGCAAATGTATAATGTTTGAACCAATGACAAAGCAAAGATGAATGTTTCTAATGCACAAATCGAGACAAAAGGCTGTATAAAATATGTAACTGTGCCAACTTTAACAGAGACAGTGTATAGTACAGAGAGTTTGAGCTACCAAGCAAGAAGTTCTAATCCAGATTTTTGAGAGCACGTGCCAAAAATTGAAAACACTAGCCAGAACTGCTTCTGCCTTTCGCATTTTTTTTATCAGTGGTTCAGACCATGGGAATCCCCAAACTGGCATGTTCATTCTTCCTATGTGGTAAATCAGACGGATCATCCTTCTATGCTGGTACTTAAAACAAAGCACATTATCCCTGAGAAGCTTCACTATAGCATAATGGTTAACTGACTGGGCTTTGACTAGGGAGAGCCAGGTTCAAGTCCACCCTCAACCATGAAAACTTACTGCATGACTTACTTTTAGCTCATTGCTATTCTTAGCCAGACCTACCTCACAGGGTTGTTGGAGGTATGCCTCCTTCAGCTCCTGGAGGAAAGGCGGGATATACATCTAATGAATAAATAAAGTAAAATGAAATATGTAATAGCTATAATTGTGCTTCCATGCATCATGCAGGGGGCTACCACTGATGGCCTGGGCATCAAAAAGAGGCTAGGTCAGAACTATTAATTTATGGGAAAGATAAGAGAGAGTACAGAATATTTCCTGAAACATGAAATCTTCTATCTCTCTAATTAGAATTTTACAATACAAAAAAAGTATGAAAGATGAAATGAAACATGAAAAAAGTAAAGGTAGGAAACAGAAGAAGTGAAAAAAGAAAGACAACAGAATCTTGACCTCTGTCCTTCGTTCTATCAAGTGTTTGCCATCTTGCTCTTTCCCTCTCCCTCTTTAGCTCTTTCTAATCCCCAAATTCAAAAAAATAAATCAGTTCTGTCTTTTCTTCTTTTAGCAAAACATCCATACAAGGCTGCCAGTCTTTTTGAAAGGTTTCTTCTTCTTTTGTGACTGTTTACATCAACAGAAGTGCCTGGAACCTCTCCCTACCCCCAAGAGTGCTCTTATCTATACCTCAAAATATCCAGTCTGGCAACAGAGGAGAATAAAAATAGACAGCATGATAAAGTGGAAGACAAATGGATTTTGTTTCCAAAAGCCATAATTTAGTTTTTAAGGAGATTAAACTCTACTATGAGAATGAAGCCTCATCACACCTATGGGAGTTTTGTTTTGTTTGTAATATACAAATGTTAGGGCTTCTGCTAGAGTTTTTGTTTCTTTCTTACCATAGCTATCATAACTGATCATGGTTGGGAGGCAGGGTGGTCAAGTGAGAAAAAGCGAAGGAAGGGAAGTGTACATGTCCCAGGATAATGTTGCAGGATCCAATCTGAGTTGATCATGGTGACCAGAGGTCTTCCAAGCTTTTAGGTGCATGCTGGAGCCCATCATCAGATATTCTGGAGAGAGAGAAGTTCTCTGATGATGGGCTCCACACCAGTCTGAAAGGCTGATCACGGTGACTAATTCAGATTGGATCTTGCGGTATTAAAAATATCTAATGTGGCCCTAGTGCCATAGATTGCCCACCCCAAGATAGCACATGGTGATGCTCCAAGTTCATTGCACTGCCATGCTTAGGGCTGGTCTGCTAAAGATTGTTAGTGAAGAAGTATCACAAGTCATCCCTTTCTTTTTCATCAAAAGCAATTATTCAAGATATACAGTAAAGAACATTGTTGAAGAAAAGTCTTCATCATAGTTCAATCCAAGCCGGGAATAAACAACATGGTGACTGCTTTAGAAAGAAGGTTGCAGTTTATTGAATAGGAGAGCCAGACAGAAAGATGGCTCTGGAAGAAAAGAGAGAGCACATGTAGGGAGTGGGTTTTTATACCCTGTGGGGCTCTTGAGATTGTTTCCTGTTCCTGTTTGAGGCTTTGTATTTCCTGTGTCATGTATTTTAACCTGAGTCTTAGTGTGTCCCTTTGGCATCCATGGGTTAATCCTATTATGTCCTGTCTTAGAGTTTGGGTGGGGTATGTAGATTTTAGGTGTCTTTGTCTTCCTAAGCTTCTAGCTGGGGGCCTCCAACTTTCCTGGATCATTTACATCTGCATTTCTACAGAGCTGGTTTCTGCTTGGTAGAGGGAGACTTGGGGATATTAAGAAAAAACTGGGCATGCTTTTCTGCCTCTTGAATATTTCCTTCTCTGGGGGGGGGGCTGACTTCCCACAACATGTATGTGTATATGTGAGTTTTGGGGTGTGAGGGAGAGAACTAGAATTGGATTTCAGCACAAAAATGTCTAAAGAGTGCAGTGCTCTATTGGAGCCAAACTAGTACAGTTCTTAGTTTCTTCTTCTTGTGCCATATCCGTTATCGGACGTTGGCGATCATGTTGGCAATCCTGTTTTTATCAGCAGCCTCACAAAAAAGTGCTGCTGAGTTTTGTCCAAACCAATCCCTTAGATTTTTGAAGCCTTAGCACACATTAAAAATTGAGAGCTTCACGTAACTGAGGATAATACAGAATAACAGAGCTGGAAGGGATCTTGGAGGTCTTCTAGTTCAACCGCCCCCCTGCTCAAGTAGAAGATCCTATACCATTCTGGACAAGTGGCTGTCCAGTCTCTTCTTAATTAGGGATGACCCTACACATATAGCCAGACATATAGCTACTAGCAGAGCTAAATTATTTCAATTCCTCTTGACTTGGAGCATTCTTTCTTAAGGCAGTTATGATATTAAGGGAAATAAGTCCCCAGAACTTTTTCAAAATCATAATTCTTCCTGCCTGCTTTGATGCTACATCTTTGTTGTTGTGTCACCCACAGTTTTGTATTTATGTGGAATTTTTATTCAAATCACATGGAGTCTGAGAAAGTGATTCATGGTCAGTCGATCTAATTAATATTCTGAAGAGGATAGGAGGCATTCAGAAACGTACCTTTTGTGTCTCAGTCACTGCAGGAGCCGTTAAATAGAGGTTGGCCTGAAACAAAATATTTACAATATTAGTTCAACAAAAAGAATCTTCCATTTATATCAGGGAGAAATACTTATATTACGTAAGAAGAGAAGATTCATTAGTATACATTTCTGTGCCCATCTTTGTATTTTCATTTTGTTTTGACTCGGTTTGAGCATTTTTTTTTTTGTCTTGAGAAAAACCCTCCAAACAGGATGACTTTCAAGCAGAAAATGAACTGAGGGGCCAGATGTTCTTTCTTTCCTATTTTAATATAAACAAACAAAAATCATCACCATATTGTAGAACCACTTCAGATGTAAGCAAAGAGGAAAAGATGCTAAAAAGAAAAAGTATGCCCACTAACAATCTAAAGTATTCACTGCAATGCCTTTAGATTGTAGACATACCAGAGATGAGACCTATTTGATAGAAACGTCCATATTTATAATCAAAAATTTATAATTCTCTCTTTGTCTGCAGCCCAGATTTATTGTCTTTTTTTTGTCACAGCTGTTTTTTGTTGTTAAAGCTTTGAAGGTCACAAACACAGATTAACTTTTCCCAGATTTTGCCAAGTCTTATATTAAAGTCATAGCTGTCATAGTCTTCATCTGCCACTAGGTGTCAGCAACTATTTGTTTTTCAATTTCCAAAATGAACAATTATCTTTAGAATGAGAGTCTTAACCATTCAAACAAGTTTAGATTTATCCAGATTTAAGTTTTAGGTTTCAGGTTTTATATTTATTTCACTTCCATATATTTTGATCCTTCATAAAAAGATTAATTCGCTGCTTCCGTTGGTATAAGGGTGGGGCGGAAATTCCCCTCCTTCCCTTTTGGAGGTATTTTGCTTCTTGGGGATCTTTTCCAGGAAATTAAATGTAAAATAAAAAAGAGAAGATCGAATTCCTCATCCAGTTTCAAGCACGCTGTTCACAGTTGTGCTGGTTAGTGCTTTTGGACTTCAGTTGCTGGTAGCTTGGGCTGGTCAATGCAATATGGCCAGCCTTTCTTCTGTCAGGTTAGAAGGCTTTCCCCAAGTTGAACAGAATGGCCACCGCCATTCCAGAATCGCTGGAGAATTCTTCTTTCTTCGTCGCCTCTCTGGGGCGACTTAGACCCATTTAGGGTCCCAGGCAGGGTGAAATTAGCTGCAGGGGTATGAAGAATCCGCAAGCCCATGACTGGTCACTACCATGCAAAATTGGAAGTCCCCCATATTTATAATCAAATAACCTACAATTGTGTATGTCTTGCACAATGATAGTGACAAAATTTCAGCAGAGTGACGGAATAATCACTTCTATACCAATAACTGATTATAGGGGACCAGCATAACATAAGCAGATGAAAATTTGTTATTTCTCTGTTCTCTCTTTTATTGACTAAGCAATACAGAAAAAAACAAATCAGCTGTTCATTGTTGCTCTTTGGAGCTGTCCATCAGAAAAATCAATTATAAATGACTATGAGGTTCATTTTACAACAGAAGTCCCTCTGTTTTGAGAGTGCCCACTGCTTGAAGGGTGGTACAAATCACATTTGGTGTAAAGATATGAATAAGAAGTCTTGTTATAAAATTAATAACCTGAGTATGCTGGATTTTCGCATGTTACCTAATCATGGATCCTTATCCTATCTTGAAATATAGATAGTCTTCGCTTAACGGTGGTAATTGGGACTGGCAACACCACTTCTAAGCAACCTGGTCATAAAATGTGACATCACGTGATCACACCAACTCACAATGACAGTTGTGGCAGTTCTAGTTGTCAACATTAAGTGAATTCTGCATGGTTATTAAGCACAATGTTGCAAGATCATCATTTGCATTCTTCCCTGACTTTGCTTGTCAGAAGCCAGCAGCAAAGTTTGCAAATGGCAGTCTTGTGATTGTGATACACTGCGACCATTGCAACTGCACACCATGATTGCCCAAATTGCAATTATGGAACCACAGGGATGCTGCAATGATCACGGTTATGAGGGCCAGTCATAAATCTCCTTGTTAAGTGCTGTTATAATTTTGAACAATCACAAAAGAGTGGTCATTCAATAGGAAAACCTACAAGAGATATGGTTTTCTGTTTTAACTCACCTCACCATAAGCACTCGAGTGCTTAGCTAGATGACAAAGGAATCAATAGTTCTGTATCTTTCTCCAATAAAACTATCTTGCTAGACTGTTGATTAATTACGGTATATTTCTTGGAAATAAGCATAGGGACACAGATGAATATTAATCATATTGGACAGAAGTATGAACTAAAGATGGATTTGGGAATGTTTATCACCATTATGTCATCCTGGAAAAAGTTGGTAAGAGTCGATATTGATTTGATGACATTTAATCAATACAATAGTCATTATGACATTCTACATTCTTTTCTCTTCACTTTCTTGTTACTCACATTGGCTCCTGATGATTACAGGAGACAGCATTATCACAAATGGCTTCTTCCTAGAGTTTCTCTTAGCTCCTACCTATTAATCACTTACTAAGTAAACTTTCTACACAAAGCTTTAATATAAAATGAGCATTACTGGGTCTGTGATGCAAAACATTTAAAACATTTAAAATTTATTTATTTATATTGATTTTTTTCCACCTTGTTTTTCAGCAGTTTGTTATTGATACAAGGGGAAAATGCAGTTACAATCCTTTTATTAAAATTAAGTGGAAGAAAATCCAACTTTCTTTGAACATGTCTCCTCCACGGAAATTTATGATGCCAGCTGCTGGGATAGAGATGAATAAAATCCAAAAGCTTTGCAAAATGTACAGGTTCTTCATTCCTCGGAGATGGATTTCTGTCATCCAATCTGATAGATGCAAAAAATTATTGCAATCCTAACTCACAATGTCAATTTGAATGCAGCATCCTTGCTTCTAACCAAATCACAAGATGCTTTGATCAGTACTTGATTCAGAATGAAAAGAGAAAGAGAAAACAATGCTATTCTCAGCTCTGAAAGGTTTCAGACTAAACCACAGTGTTTTGGAGACTAATTATTCAAACATTGGAGGCAGAGTTCTCTATACTTGCTCAGAAGTCCTCTCAAAGGTGGCAGTTCTGCTATTCAAAACAGATGTGAAGACCACATTATGAAGATACTTACATATTTGGTTTCCCGACCAGCTGGCCTCTGTGGAGCAGTAGACATCTGCAAGGAATCCAACCACATCATGTTAGAACAGTTTGGCATTGTGCAGAAAACTTTTTTTTGCTGAATTGTTACAGTACATTTGGGCACTGCTGGAATATGTTTTCCATTCCCACCAACAGCAAAGACAGTAAGTAAAAGACAGTAAAAAAGATGTCGAGACTCTAGAAAGAGTACAGAGAAGAGCAACAAAGATGATTAGAAGACTGGAGGCTAAAACAAAGGAACGGTTGCTGGAATTGGCTATGTCTAGTCTAATGAAGAGAAAGACGAGGAGGGACATGATAGCAGTGTTCCAATATCTCAGGGATTGCCTCAAAGAAAAGGGAGGCAAGCTATTCTCCAAAGCACCTGAAGGCAGGACAAGAAGCAACAGATGGAAACTAACCAAAGAGAGAAGCAAGGAATAAGGAGAAATTTCCTGACAGTTAGAACAACTAATCAGTGGAACAACCTGCCTCCAGAAGCTGTGAATGCTCCAACACTGGAAGTTTTTAAGAAGAGACTGGACAGCCATTTGTCTGAAATGGTATAGGGTTTTCTGCCTGAGCAAGGGGTTGGACTAGATGACCTCTAAGGTCCCTTCCAATGTTGTTGTTGTTGTTATCATTACCATTACCATTATCAAGGAAGCTGTGCATTGAATCAGAGACATGAAAGAATACACTGTGCTTGAACAAGCCTATCCCTTAATTCACCATTTAACCCATTTTCTCTTATCCTCATCTGACTATTATGTTGTTTTTAAAGTTTTATGAGTTTTACTAAGAATGCTAAGAAGCCAAAACACCAACATATCCAGAGGAGGTAAGAATAGTAACGGGACAAAGGCAACTAGCTACAAAGGGCTGCACCAAAACTCATTATAGGAAAACCTCTGAACAACTGAAAGAAAATAAGTCTCCGAAAAACAGGACTTTCCAAGTTACAAAAAAAACAAAACAAAACAAAAAAGGCATGTAAGCCTACCCTGCCTTTTAAATCAACAACTGATAAGTACCATATCTTATTTGACTGTGATTTTGACAAGGTCTCATCCTCTGATAAGGATTTAACTGTAATAGACAAAGCCAGAGAAGCAGTCAGAATGGAATCTGAGGCTGATGAACTGGATTCCAACCTATTAGAGCTGAACCCAGAAATGTCCTTAGTTGCAAAATAACCACCTGCTTATAGCCCACACAGTCTACATATTGATCAGGTGTCAGAGGCTGATAAAAAGCTAGCAGGGGTTCTCAACCTTGGCAACTTTAAGACTTGTGGACTACAATTTCCAGAATTCCTCAGCCAGCTTTGCTGGCTGAGGAATTCTGGGAGTTGAAGTCCACAAGTCTTAAAGTTGCCAAGGTTGAGAACCCCTGACAGAAATAAAAAGGCTAGTAGAAGGAGGATTCCCTGGCTTTGTAAAGGAAGGTGGTGAGAATGCCAATACAAGTAGCCCTTGAGTTGCAACAGTTCGTCTAGCAACCGTTCAAAGTTACAATGGCACTGAACAAAATGACTTATAACCATTTTTCACACTTATGACCCTTGAAGCATCCCCATGGTCACCTGAATTACACTCAGATGGTTGGTAACTAGCATTTACAGTATTTATGACAGTTGCCATGTTCTAGGGTCCTGTGATTGCCTTCTGACAAGCAAAGCCAACTGGGAAGCCAGTTTCATTTACAGCTGGGTTACTAATTTTATCAATTGCACTGATTCACTTAACAACTGAGGCAAGAAAGGTTGTAAAATGGGGCAAAATTCACTCAAGAAATGTCTCACTTAACAGCAGAAATTTTGGGCTCAATTATAGTATAGGTCAAGCATTACCTGTACAGGGGAGAAGACACACACACACACACACACACACACACACACACACACACACAGTGAAATACAAAACTCTGTGATCAGGACAATTCAGAGCTTAGCACTGAAGGATCATTTGAAACCTAAGGACTACAACTGAAAAAAAAAAAATCATGCTATACAAGTAGACTTATGATCACAACTGAGCCCCAAATTCTTGCTGCTCACTGAGACATTTGTTAAATGAGTTTTGCCCCATTTTACGACCTTTCTTGCTGCAATTGTCAAGTTAGCAACACAGTTGTTAGGTGAATCTGGCTTCCCCATTGATTTTGCTTGTCAGAAGGTCGCAAAAGGGGATCACACGACCCCGGGAGGGGCACTGCAACCGTCATAAATATGAACCAGTCGCCAAGCATCTGAATTTTGATTACATCACTATGGGGATGCTGCAAAGGTCACAACTATGAAAAATGGCCATAAGTCACCCTTTTCAGGGCTGTTGTAACTTTGGATGGTCAGTAAATGAGCTGTTGTAAGTCAAGGACTACCTGTATATACCAGTAGAAATGATCCACATAAATAGTCAAAGAAAAGGCCCATGCTGAAATTTGCCCTAGTTCAGGGGTAGGCAACCTCGGCTCTTTAATGACTCATGGACTTCAACTCCCAGAATTCCCGAGTCAGCCATGCTGACTCCGGAATTCTGGGAGTTGAAGTCCATGAGTCATTAAAGAGCCGAGGTTGCCTACCCCTGTCCTAGTTACTTCGGTGTAAAACAACATTGACAGAATTGACGGAGACAACAAGGCTCCCACACTGCCAAGGCTTTAAGAGGCTTGTGCTGTTGTTTTCAACAACTCCTATTACCCCAAATGCTCTTAAGCCTTTTCTACAGAGCTTTGGGATCACACCAACTGGAGTATTTTAAAATATCTGTGCCTGCCACTCCTGACTCCTGGGAAGCTTGCCAAGGTGTAACGGGAGGGTACATCCAGGAAGATTTCTGATAACATTATGCACATAATATTCTGGGGGGGGGAGGGATCCATCAGGCTGAAGGAGGGAGAGAGGTTTGGCTCAATGCACCACCAATTCATTAAAAGAGGTTCTACTCTTGCATGTCAGGGACCTACCTCTGCATCCAACTGCATCTGGATCATCACCAAGTCCTCTAGGTGAGATTGCTCCACCAAGCAAAAAGAGGAGATGCCTCAATATAAATCAAGGAGAATTAAGATTCCCTACAGAATCCTTAATTACAAATCATGGGTCAAGAGGAGGATCTCGTGCAGATTTTTCCCGTGCAAGTCACTTCAAATCCAGATGCTTTTGGTGATGAAGAAAGATTCTATAGGGCCAGTTAGATCCTTCGACTTGAGACGTAGACCATCATCTACTATTTTCATGTAAATGATTCAATTTCTTTCAAACTGTCTGCAGCGCATGTAACCTTAGGGTTAAATATAAATTGATTTAGACCTCTTGTCGAAAAGATCAGAAGATGCTTCCTTATCATTTTTTTTCTCTTTCTGTTTTATTATTCGTCATTCTTCCTTGTTTTCCGCTTTTCTAATTTTGTATTGTTTTTATCTTTTAAAAAAATTCTTCAGTGAAAATTATATTATTTTTTTAAAAAAAATGAAATACTGTTCTATGTTATTAGAGTGAGCAAAATGAAAGATTAGGGAACTGGCATAACCACTGAGTAAGGTTCACACTGTGGTTTTCTTTAGTCTTTGCAATATTTGAGTTTCAATGGGATTTATCCACTATCTATTCTATGACTGCCCATTTTTTTCTCAACCTCACTGGGATGGCACTGAAGGACTCAGATTGGAACTAGGAAAGTTTGTTAAACAATTGCTGACACAGAAAGTTGCAGCTGCGATGAGTGTAACAAATGGTGGGACACTACTGCCTAGCAACAAGAACGTTGCTAGAAGGATGCTAGCTAAGACACACAGATATATAAACTTTGGTAACCTCTAACCCAGTGTTTCCCAAACTTGACAATTTTAAGGCATGTGGACTTCAACTCCCAGAATTCTGGGAGTTGAAGTCCTCATGCCTTAAAATTGTCAAGTTTGGGAAACACTGCTCTAACCTATTACAATAGTAAAAGACCCACCTCTTTTGATAAGAAAGCTTATTAACATAAACATGTGATGTATGAAGAAGGAGGGCAAAGTAGAAGAATCCAATCAAAAGAAACATGTGTGATTCTTAGGGTGTTAACTTCCTTAGTCATAACTGTGTAAAATTTGTGCTTGTGCATTTTTCAAGGTCTTGGCTCCTTTGAGGCTGAGACCCTTTTACTGGAGTACTCCAATAAAAGAAACTGGAAAAGCTATTCCTCATGTCTGGTGGTCTATATTGGCTTTGGTGCCAGGCTAGGATCCATTTTGGGACAACAGCGCCACCATCATGAAGTTCTCAGGCCTTCATCCCTGATGCAGCAGGGTTAAACCAAGTAACCAGAAGCCACACATAAAAAATAGACACACATACATGTAGCATGGTGATGATGCTCTGACTAGATAACCCACAACTCATGCTATTGCCTGACTGCCTGGAATATAAGTTACCACTGTACTTTGTATCTGTATCTATAGGGGAGATAGATTTCATAGGGGCAAGTTGTATGAGGATGTACGCAGCATCAAAACAACAGCAGAGGGAATGTTGGAAAACTAGGATGTACATCAAACTTTTTACTACTTAATTTGAACAGTCACATTCACAGCCCTGTTTCAACAACAGCAACAAAAAATACTATCGAGACATTTGCGGAGTGTGTGTGGAATTTTCATTAGCATTCTTATTCACTTACTTTGCCTGTACTTGAATCGAGTATGTTCTTCAGGGAACTTGGAGAGGAATTACATCGGCGCTGTAGGAATGGATTGAGAAGAAAAGGTGCTCAATTACAGAGCGTGAAAGGAAGCACCCAAGCAAGCAAGTGGCTTTAGACCAGTGGTTCTCAACCTGTGGGTCGTGACCCCATTTGGGGTCAAACGACCATTTCACAGGGGTCGCCAAACAACGCAGTCCGCCATTTTTTTCCCCCTTTTCCTTAGCTGTGCTACTCCCTTTTATTCTATTGGCTTTTGAAAGCCAATAGAATAGACTCTCTTGAATAGAGTCTAATTCTATTGGCTTTCAAAAGCCAATAGGAATTGTCCAGGCTGTCTCTGCCCTGCTGAGCCCACCAAAAGTCCCATTCTGCAAATGGTGCTGCACCAGTTGAGTAGTCCTCGACTTACGACCGGTTGAGTAGTCCTCGACTTACAACCGGTTGGGGGTCACGGCATTAAAAAGGTTGAGAACCACTGCTTTAGACGTTAGCTTACCCTGGCCAAAGGCTCTTGCAAGGCTTCATCAATAGCAGCACAAAGTTCTTCCGTTTGTTGCCTGAGTTGGGCAGGCGAGCACATCTGTGGGATTTGTCAAAAAGAGAAAATAATTTTCTCCGATTCTCAACTCCAGAGATTAAACATCTATTAGCACCACCTCTATCTCATGGAACCTGCTGCAGCAGCTACAGGGAGTCCTTGACGTACGACCATAACTGAACCCCAAATTTCCATTGCTAAGCAAGGTAGTTGTTAAGTGAGTTTTGCCCCATTTTACGACCTTTCATACCACAGTTGTTAAGTGAAGCGCTGCCTTTGTTAAGTTAGTAACACGGTTGTTGAATGAGTCCGGCTTCCCCATTCAGACTTTCCTTGTGAGAAGGTCACAAAAGGTGATCCTGTGATCCCGGGACATCACAACCGTCGTAAATAGGAGCCAATTGTCAAGCATCCTAATTCTGATCACATGGCCATGGGGATGCTGCAACGTTCGTACGTGTGGAAAAAAATGGTCCTGAGTCCCTTTCTTCAGTGTCGTTATAACTTTGAATCGTCGTTCAACAAATGGTTGTAAGTCAAGGACTACCTGTACTGAGATGAGCTCCACTTTGTGCAGCAATTAGATCTGCGTTGCACAACGTTGGATGACCACCAGGTGGCACATAGAATTTTGGTCTCTCTGTTGCTTTTTGCTTAGTGGCCATCAGAGTTTTGCTCCTGGTACTCTGGACATCTCGTTGGCATTCTTGTCTGGATGGTCCCCTTTCTCAAACATAAAGACTGGGTGGTGCCGTGTAGCACTTCGAAAGCTGCAGACTTAGTTTCTTACTGCAACTTTTTTCCAGCTAAATGCTTTGTTTTTGTTGTGGTTTTCTCCAAGTTGCCATATGAGTTTTCCACCAAGAAAAACAAAAGCCAGGAGATTCCTTGTTGGTGTGCTTTCTCCATTTCATCTATTAAGTATTTAGTAGTTTGCACAGCCCACTGCTCCCCAATGAACCCCATATCATTGAGATCATGACTCCATTCCAGATTTCAAATAGCTGCTTTGAATCAAATCCATTTTAGCAGCACACTTGAGCAAGAGGTAACTGAACTGATGTACAACAAAGAGATTTTAGACCATCTCAGAAGGTCCCAACAACCGCAATGGGTTTTAACACATTACAATTGCTTATTGATCAGGTACTTGCAATCCGTCACATATGCAGCCAGCATTTGCATAAGCATCTTGTCTTCCCTTCCCCACTCCAGTTCATACCAGTTTAAACCCTACATCATTTTAGCTAATCCATGCAGTTGATGAAGACAGCTGGAGCTCACTAAAGCTTATGCCTTTTAATAAAATGTATCCATTGGAAAAGATGCAACCAATTAAACCTGATTTTGGACTCTCCTCTTCCTCCTCCTACTCAAGCAGATTATTTATTGTGTGTTTCTACAGCTGTGCAGTGCTTTCACTTCAAAGGCCAAATGATGCTTCAGTGCTCATATGAGCTCACCGTGAAACAAAAGGAGTCCTATAGGATTTGGCGGAAGGTTGAGGGGTGGAGGCGTTTTTTCTTAGGACTGCATACTTGCTATCATTGCACAAGTTGCTATGAAAATACTAATCCATTCTCTGAAGCACTTTTTCACTTTCAGGTCCAAAGCATTACACAGCCCAGTGTGTTATCACCTCCATGACATCCATAGCAGGGTGCAGCCTGAAGCAATTATTTCCCTATTCAATTCTGATTATGGAAATTTGATGATAAAGTAATATGACCAAAATGAAATGAATCGAATAAGAATGAATTAAACACAGAGAAATTAATTGTCACCTCTGAATGTGTATCCAAAGTTCTGTCCTCAGCATCTAGCTCTGTTTTGGTTTGTTCATCGAGTGCCTATGGATTAATTCATATTATTCTGAGCTTAAGACAAGATTAGACAAGAATAACAATAACAATGCACTTATATAATCTCTGCTAAAGTAATTTATATCATATCCTAGTCAACTATCCAAGCATTATATATGCATAAAGAACAGCATAAAGCTAAATAATTAAAATAAGCTCATGTCCAACTCATTTTGTTGGTTAAGCATCTGATTTATGAACACACACATATATCTATGGGAGCCAAAGGAGTTCCATAGGTATTTAAAAAAGTTATGATGCAATCTACAAGTGATGACACATTCTAGATTATCTGAAGTTTCCAAGTGCTCTTCAAGGACAGCCCCATGTAAAACACCTTGTAATTTTTCAAAGAAGAGATGTCTAAGAACGAGGCAACCATGAAGTGCCTCCTGATCTAGAAACAGGCCCAACTGGTGTACAAAATGTGCCAAGGGTCTCCTGGCCATGGCTACCACCTGTTCCTCAAACTCTGCCTGGATCATCCATGGTCATTAAGTTGCACCATTTTCTAAAACCTACAGCAACTTATGGTTCTGTAACCACAACATTTAAGAACCCTGGAATCGCCTAATATTGTTTTTGTCTAAGGAATACTCAACAAATGCCATTCTGGCAACCAAATTCCTGATTCCTTTGGAAACTATTTGTCACATAGTAGAATAGACTACCTTTGTTGTCATTGTGTAACTCACAATGAAAATAAGTTAATTAATGAATGAATGAATTCACACTTTATATTAAGCTTGTTGAACTATGGTTTATGCTTAATATATTAAGCCATAAATCATGTTTTGCAAATTGCAGTGGCTGGTTCCATACATAATACAAGATCAATGAACTACATTTTAGGCAGACACAATGGGGATGCCACACACTAAGTCAAACTATGGTGTCCTCTAGCACTGCCTAAAATAGCAGTACGTTTTTCATAATGGGTGACTTGCCAGATTAGTCTTGCTAGTGCAGTATTATGGTTTCTTGGCTGCTAAATATCCATCTGATTTTACAGCTTCAACCAAAATAAGAGCTTTATTTACGTATATGTGATTGTTGAGCTGCATTTTGCTTGCTGGTTTGCTGATTTGAAGGCTTGATTTGGTACAGTATCGATCAGCCTACAATCTGAAGTTTGAAAAAGGCTTTCTATACTAAACTTCAGCTCACTGTGAAAGCTCATCATCACTACTTCAACACAAATATGTGCCAATAACCATTTCTTCTGTTGTAGTCTCTGCCTCGGTCTCATTTCCCAGGTCACAACTAAAGCAGAGGCATTTAACAGAGGCATAAATTGTATTTAACCCTTCCAGTTTTTTCTTTCTATTTGCCTTGGATATGATCTAGCATGTTTTATCAATGTGATCAGGGATGAATTTATCCGAGATTCTAATGACCACTTATGGCTGTTGCAGATATGCCCCTTCAAGTTGGGAACAGCCTCCATCATTCCTTTGGGTTGGGCCACAGGGAAAATCCCAGACCTGGCTTCTGCGGAGGGATTAATTGTTATTATTTATTTATTACATGCCTGCGTAGTGACTGATCAGTGTTTTCCAAGGTGCTGGGTCAATCTTTTGCAGGTGCCATATAAGCACGGGCTTAGCAGTGTTTGAAAAGTACTAGGCCTGTAGAATAAGGTTTTAATGCCTTTTAGAAAACCTTCCGCTGCCTGGAAGGCTCCTTCAAACTGAGGAAGACAGAGGAATTCTACCAGCTCACGTTGTTGATTTTTGTCACCTTTGGTTACATTGCAGGATTTCTTTTATTCCTTTTATTGTGGGAGAGGGGTGTGTGGGTCATTTTGCCCATGCGTTTCCAATTGTTTGTCATCAATGGCACCTTCTGCTTCTCACTTTACCCCTCTTCCATCCCTGTGATCTGCCAGATAGGCTATTTTTAGGTACAGATTCAGCCCTCTTGCAGAAGAACAGTAGACCCATTTCAGAAATAGCTAGACTAAGAAGCCATAGGCCACTTGGCTGGTGGCTCATTATATTGTTTGAAGCATCTGCCTATTCTCCTTCCCTTCCCATGTTAGGGAGAGTGATGAGTGGTTGCTTTCACACTGGTAGGTGATGATTGGTGAAAGAGAAACTAAGGCAGGGCAAACCACCAATTGCTTTCCAAAGATGCTTTTCCCCAAAAAGACAATTGGACTTTCTTGAATTTTTTTTCTTTGAAAAACTTTCACTTCTCATCCAAGAAGCCTCTTCAGTTCTAGCTGACTGGTGGGGAATGGAACGATTTATATTCTTTGCAGTTATCTGGTCCTTAGTACTCTGCAGGTCAGCCATTAGTTCTCTGAGAATAGTCGAGGCCACTTGGGGGTTTATCTGTATCCTCAGAGTCATCTGAATCCCCCCATTCCTCTCCAGTCAGTTAGAACTGAAGAAGCTTCTTAGGTGAGAAGCAAAATATTTTCAATGAAAAAACAACAACAAGAAAGACCAATTGCCCTTGGAAAAAGCATCTTTGGGACAACCATGACCTGGATGATTGACAATCTCCATAGACACCAATTGCTTTCTCTAACTTGTCTCACATTAAAAGAGGAAGGAGAGAAATAACCATCAGCGTTGTGGCTGAATAGGACTCAGCAATCTAGGCAGAAAATGCTTTTCTGCTGCCTCAAAGACCAGCAAACAGTTTTACCACAGTTATCTCCTTCTGGCCTTAATTTTAAAATTAATACTAATACCAGCACATACCTCTGAGCATCCAACTAACCTTCTGTTCTAGAAGCAGTGTGTTTGTTGGGATGGCTGCAAGTGTCTTGTAGCTTGCATTGATCTTGTATGACTGTAAATCATAATCAGAAACAGGAAAATTGTGGTAGTATTAAAATTAATTCCTTTAAGACTTCAACATGAATGCTGTCTTAGTATAAAGGAGAAAAAAAGTTACACATTAAAATGATCTTCTGTCTTTTTAAAGTATTGCATGTCCATCTTAATGCCATAATTTGTATCATAGGGTTCCTGTCATAATTTATTCCAGAGGTTAGATATCTATTCATATATTTTAGTCAACACAGAGACATTTTTTCTTTCTGTCCATAGAGGTGACATATTTAGTTACAAGCTCATTGAGACCCTTTGAAATGATCACCTTTATGGAGTAATTTTCCTTAAACTATCTTCGTGTGAATCTCAAACTTGTTACCCAAGTAACAGTACAATATCCAAACTGAGAAGGAAAGGATATTCAGTGAAGATGGAACAACTTTTTTGCCTTGTCGTTAGCTCTTCCACTGTTCCATTTATTAGACAATACAAAATATTAATCAATCAAAATATTTCAGAAACTGCTTGGAATAATTTCACTCTTAATTCAACCCTCAGAAAAAGCGGGAATCTTTTGGCCACCCTTTAATAAGCTTCTGTGCTCTTCCTAACAATAATATGGTGTTCTGAAAAGCTATTGTAACAAATTACATACATGTTTTCCTGTGGTCCCCGCTTTCCTTAGTTAGGGCCTCCCTTCCTTTTCAGTTGTTTCTGGCATATTGTAAAGCCCTGAAATGCAAATTTAATTTCTCTTCAATCATCACTATTCTCGTCCTCGCTTCCCTTGCTATCCCCCATTTTGTCTCCCCAGCATGACAAGAAGTTTAGTTATCAGAACCAAATGTTAGTAAGTCTTACCAGACAAAGTGGATTTGGCAGCTCACTGATCTCCCTTGTACAGCCATTTGTCAGCATTAAAATCAGCAATAAACTGCATTTGCTTTACATTATTCTTCCCAGCTTACATTTCATCCTAACCCCTGAATAAGAATTTTGACTCTGCTGGGCCCCTTTCAATAAAGTTGGAAAGCTGGGATTTAATTAGGAATTCTGCATGTATAAGCTGCAAATATGATGGGAGAGCTTCCGTCTTTGCCTAGCTCCTGCCCACCTAGCAGTTTGAAAGCATACAAATGCGAGTAGATAAACAGGTACCGCTTCAGTGGAGAGGAAACAGCTCTCTGTAATGTCATGGTGGCCACGTGACCATGGAAACCGTCTTCAGACAGTGCTGGCTTAATGGCCCTTGAAATCGAGGTAAGCACTGCCCCCTATAGTTGTTTATAACTAGCGGAGTAAAATCTGCAGGGACCCCTTTCCTTTTTTTTCTTCTACATGTACAGTATATAAGATAATAGAACCATACCATTGACATGCCACATTTACAGTATTATGTCACAGAAGAACTGCAGTATTACTTACAGACAAGAGTTCAAGGCGCAACAAGAGGCAGTATTATTATTATCACTCTCCCAAACCATGACATTTCACTGTTCCGATGACAATGAGCTAAGTATGGAACTGGAGAAGATTAGATCCTACTGTGGATCCCATCAGCCAAGGAATTTCAGCTGGTGGGATCGAGTAGAAGAGCCTTTTCTGGCACATTAACCAAACTATGGAACATCTTGCCACAGATCCCTCTCTTTTAGCCTTCAGGATAATCTTTAAAACGTGGGTGTGCTGGTTGGCTTGGAGTCCTGAAGGAGAAGCTGTTGCCTGGAGATGGTTGGTGCAGTAATAGAGAAGGCACCACCTTCTCCTGATCCAAACCCAGGGTTTTGTTTTGTTTTGTTTTTTTGTAATTTTAACCTATTTTATATTTATAATCATTTTTATTTTTGCATATTCTGGGAGTTGAAGTCCACAAGTCAGAAAAGGGCCAAGTTGGAAGACCCCTGGTCCACAATGTTGAGCATCCTTATCAACAGAAGCTTTAACCACCTGCAGAATAGATACTGGAATGGAATAGCAGTCAATGCCAAATCACTTCATTGCAGTAAAGGGATTTCTGAAGTGGCTTTTGAGAGAGCTATCCAAAAAGGGGAGATGGGTTGTTTGTGTGGATGAAAGAGACATTTGTATCTGCAAATTTGGATCAAAAATAAGGTAAAACAATCCTTTAAAGATGGGGATGAATGCACGAATAGGATGCAATTATTAGCAGTGATTTATTACAAACTAGCGTATGCTATGATTTATATGAAGATCTGATTTTATATGTAAATATTTATAATCAGTAACAGACTGAAGTTAATTTTAAGCCTTTTCTGAAGTTAACTGAAGTTAATTTTAAGCATTTTCACAAATCAAAGTTAATTCCTACCCGCAGCAATCATTGTTTTTGATTAAGAGGATCTTCCAACCAACCCCCCCCCTTTACCGCAAACTTGAACCTTAGTGCTACATGAGGCAACAATCAAAAGACCATTTCCAGATCATGAGGGTGCAGCATACTTATATGAATTAAACCAGTACAACCCCCTTAGCTCTTTCTTTAACTGATGAACACAGACTGACTTGTCAGAGTCTCATGAATAAAATATTAACAGAGAAAGGAAGAGAAATACTCTCTGTATACAGGTAGTCCTCAATGTAACAACCACAACTGAGCCCAAAATTTATGTTGTTAAGTGAGAAATTTGTCAAGGGAGTTTTGCCCCATTTTACAACTTTTCTCACTACATTTGCTAAGAGAATCACTGCAGTTCTTAAATTAGTGACAGGGTTATTAAATGAATCTGGCTTCCCCATTGACTTTATTTGTCAGAAGGTTATAAAAGGTGATCACGTGATCCTGGGACACTGCAACCATTATAAATTTGAGTCAGTTATCAATTTACATTTCACATTTACATCTGAATCTAAAGCAGGGGTAGTCAACCTTGGCTCTTTTATGACTCGTGGGAGTTGAAGTCCACGAGTCATAAAAGAGCCAAGGTTGACTACCCCTGATCTAAAGCAGGTGACCACGGGGATTCTGCAATAGTCACAAGTGTGAAAAATGGTCCTAAGTCACTTTTTTCAGTGCCACTATAACTTTGAACAGTCACTAAGTGAACTGTTGTAAGTTGAGGACTACCTGTAACTTGCCTGTTTATGAAATTTAATTATTCTGAAACTTTACAAGTATGCTAAAAGATAATATCTCAGGCTGCAAACATGTAAAAAGAGTTAATTTGGAAATTTGGAAAATCAGATGTGGAATTTAAGCTTTACAAATACAGAGATACATACATATCCAAATTACCATAAATCTTTTTAGCATATATGATTTCTTCCCCCCCCACACACACACATACACACACTAAAAATATGATGAAATCATTTTGGTTATATGTTCATATCCGTGCTTGAGAAATGTTTCACTATCACATTTCCACTGTTTTCTCCGAAACATGCAATGATGTCTACATTTACAATTTTCTTTTCTTTGGGTGCCATTTTTCTGGAACAGAAATGGGAAAAAGGATTAGAGGAATAGAAAGAAGCCACCAGATAGAATACCTGAGGAGTCTTATTCTCACAATCAGAAGGCAAGGAAAAGAACAGCGGTGAGCTAGTCTCCCTTGATCTTGACAACTGTGGGCAAGGAGAATGCTTTCTGGCCAGGGATCTGGGTGGCGTGATCACTGGGGACTTGTGTCTTGAGCAGGGCAGGCAAGTTCTGAAGTTTGAATGAAGAGGGGATGCGTTTGTCTGAAGCAAAGGGGAGTTGATGTTACAGCTTGGAGGAGTAGATGACGGTGAATCTTGGTGATAAAAAGGCCAATGAGTTGACAAATTCGTACCTCGGTCCTTTGCAGAGACATGTAGCAAATGTTCTTTAGGCTGATTACTAGAATGCACAGGAGCTGCAGAGTAAGACAGTTTTTGTGCTGTGGGAGAAACTGTGGCCCTTTTGTTGACTGCAAGGGTTGGGGTTGGATGGGACTTGGCAGTGAAAGTGGGAGAGCAGGTGCGTACTTTTGTAGACTTCTCAGGCTCTCGTGTTTTGAGGACCCTTTGCCTCAAAACATGGGGAGGTAAGGAAAAACTGGTCAGTTTGGGTTTTAGCAGAGGGGAGACAACTGTTTTCTTGTAGGAGGAAATTGTGGGTGACAAAGGACGCAGTTTGTCAGGGGAACATGTCCCGGGATCAAGCGTCCTTTTAGGGGATGGAGACCAAGTTTGAAGGGTAGGACTGGACTTTGAGGAGACCATCCTGTCCCTTGGCGTGCTAGAAAGCCCTGAAGAGTGACCTTCATCTTGGTATGGGGAATCTGACCTGAAGATAGAAAACTGTGAAGCAGCTTTCTTGGGAATGGGAGGGGTAGTTTTAAATTTCTGTTCAATTGCCAGAGTTGAAGAATCAAAAGAACTGGGAGAAAAAGTGGCAGGACAAGACACGGGAGAAAATGGCCTTTTTGGAGAAGACCCCGACTTCAGAATAGCAGTCAAAAGAGAAAGTCTAGCTGGAAGAGGAGATTTAACTCTAGACACTGGTGGGTTGCCACTTAAGGACATTTGGCTACAGGGGCTGTTTGCATCATATATATTTGAGGAGGATCCGTATGGAGAAGGTGGCAGTTGGGTGGGACTTGGTGATAAGACGTGTGTTGTAATATGAACGGGAACCTGGGACCAGGGGGCCAGTTTCTTGGGAGGGAGAGGAGAATAGGCCTGAGGGGACGAGCCTGGAGGAACATCCGCTGAAGTGAGAATCTGTGAGGGAGGAGAGGAATCCTTGCTTAATGGTCGTGGCAAAGAGGTGGATTCCTTTTCGGGTTTGTGAATCTGAACATTGTGGAATAATTGAGCATGATCTGCAAGGCTTTCAGATGAGGAAGGGAGTATTTTCGGTACGGAGGAAGGCAAACTGGAAGATGTAGCAGACTGGAAATAGGTGGATGTCTGGTGGATGCAGGATCCATTTGCAGACCGCCACTGGCTATGAGATTCTTGGTGAGAAGAAGCCTGATGGCCTGGAACGGCCAGTCCGTGTTCTACTTTCAGATTAGTTGGAGAAAGTAAGGGAGCAGCAGGTGATTTATGGGAAAGGTGATCAGAAGCAGACAGAAGAGAAGTTAACTGGAGGGGAAAAAGAAAAAGGAGAAAGATTAGAATCAAATCTGTAACATTTGCTGAGTTCTTTAACCAGGAGACTGGCTATCTTCATTTGCAGCATTAAAAAGCAGGGTGAGATGTTAAAGGTCTGGTATTTAATTTTAAACTATTCACGTCCATTTTTATTAGCATAAAAGAAATTATCTGTTTCCCACAGCTGTTGCACAATTGTATCATGACTTTGCAAAAATAAGAAAGCATTTACAATGAAAACAACTCTAAGAAGCGAACCAAAAAGGCCCTCCCTCTCCCTCCCCCCCTCATGTTTATGTGTATATGTGAGTGTGCGTGAGCTACTCATGGGTCAGAATGCTTCCTTTCCTGAAGTACGGAAATGGAAAAATATTATGCATTCAATTTGCATAACCTCCCATCTCAACAATGACCCTGGGCATTACCTGAGAGGGTTTCTGTGGACTGGCTGAACTGCAGGAAAGGTCAGTGTGTTGTTGCATCTGTGGCACATTCCCTTGTCCTTTGCACTCATCACCACTGGACACATGGAACACAGCTAAACCCTCGGAACTTTCATGTCCGTAGCCGTTGCCCAAAATAGCCTTTGTATCTTCATCTGAGTCGGTGATGAGAACAAACTCAGCTTTGAAAAGATCCTTCCCATCCATTTTTCCTCCCTTTGCCTTGTCTTCTTGCAGATTGAAAAGTTTGTGCTTATCGTTGGGGCAGCTGGTAGCTTCACCAGTTCCCTTGTTTCCCCTTCCTATGGCAGATGACTTTTCCACTTCCTTTGTTTCAGTAATTACTTCATTCTGAAGGAAGGAATGAAGGGAGGGAGGGAGGGAGGGAGGAAGGGAAGGAAGGAAGGAAGGAAGGAAGGAAGGAAGGAAGGAAGGAAGGAAGGAAGAGGAGAGAGAGATGACTTAGTATTATGTGCTGCTATGCTTCTCTCCTTGCACAATGAATTAAAAATTCCTACAGAAAATGTGACTGGGACAAATAAGAAATATCAGAGAAATAAAATATGTACAGTATGTGTGGGGAACTGAGGGAATTAGTGATTGAAGGAATATGCATTCAATTTTTACCCGCTCTACCCTGTTTCACAAGCGCATTGTATGTCAGAGGACATGGTGTTAAAATACAATCTGTTTCTGGTCCCTTTCGAATGACACAAAAGACAAAACTGGAAGAAATAATTCATTCAATATCCAGGACAGTGCAGAAATCAGGAACAGATGCAGCTAGGCAGAAGAGAACGTGGAACATTTCAAAAACAAAAACCAAGGGGATTCTTGGCTATGGAAACAGCTGGGATTCCCATGATTGCCAGAGGGATAAATCTGGGATAAAGTCTCATAGGTATGAAAGAAAAGAAGGTTTCAAACCAAAACATTTTCTAGCAGACAAAACAAAGAATTTGCAGCTGCGAAGTTTTGTCTGTGGCTCAGGACAGTTTAGGTTGAGACTTCCATTTTGGTGTTTGATGAGACGGGTGGAAGAAGCTGGGGCTTTGGCTTCTTAGCCTGATTTTGTTCGGCCCAGCGACTCCAAGGGGTCGGAAGATTGCCCTGGAGGGGCAATGAAGAAGGAAGGATGCTTCAGGAGTCCGGACCAGATGGCAGTCGGTCCAGACAGACTGAAGAAACCCTCCAAAAGAATGGAAGAAAGGCTGCCTGGTAAACCCAGACAGCCCAAGTCATCACCAGCCAGAAGAAAAGTGAGGAGCTGCGGCACTCCGCTAAACAGCTGATTGTCAACAGCGTGCTGAAACTGGGTGAGCCTGTTCTTTTATTCCTTATGGACTTAGAAAAGTTGATCCCCTGATTGGAAAGAAGCTATGAAGTAAAGATCCCAAAAGGACTAGGGGAGAAGAGAGTTAAAAGCAGTAAGCAATTACAGGAGGGGAAAGGATTTTAAGGAAGACAAAAGAATGCTTAAAAATCAAACTCAGATTGATTCAAAGAAAGACTGCTTAACTTATAAGTCATGGAAACTTTTTTTCTTTTTTAGATTTAGTCCCTAGGCTAAATAACTTACAGAGAACTTTAAAAGCTTTGTAACAATCTTTTAAAACCAGATATTGCCAAAACAGTGTATGAGGACATCTAATGGTGAAGGGAGATATTACAGTAATAACAAATAAAAGAATTTGAAAAATGTTTGACCTTGAAATAACACCTGGTGTAAACAAAGTGCCTTTATGTGAGTTTGTAACAAAAAAGACTTTCTACAATTATGTCTGTTGACTCTGGATATAACCAAAACAGGAATTATTTGGAGACAACGGGTGTTTCACATCTGTGATTTGACTGGAGGATTGGATCTGTCCTAAAGTAATTGGTTCATTTTTTTTGGTTGGATTTTAGCCTAAGATAGTTGCCTTTTTTCCTTTTTTCTTCTTGTTTTTTTTTTTACCTTGTTTTCCCTCCTTGAGAATTTGGATTTACCTAAAATAGTTGAGTCTTTTTACAGTTTGGATTTTAGCCTAAGATAGTTGGCTTGAAAAATGAGTGCATCAAATCTCACCAGACTTATGAAAAAGACTTCCTCTGTACCCTCTGCTGGAGCATCCAGCCCAACAAGCCAGGGATATATTGAAACAATGTTGCAGCATGAGAAAATAAGCACTGCTCAAAACGAGATGCAAACTACATTAAAATTAATTCAAGAATCAATACAAAAAAACCACAAAGAGACAAAAGGCAATTTTGATAAATTAAATAAACAAATGTCAGATATAAAGACACAATTTGAAGTCCACCAACAAATGATTGTTAAAAATGAACAAAGAATTTGGAAAGTGGAAACTAAATCAGATGATATTGACAAATATGGAAGTACTAATACAAGAAAATGAAAAATTAGAACAAGCAAATCAAAATCTAGAAGAAGCGGTGGCGATCTTAGAAATGGAGAAAGCGGAACACTATTTAAGATTTCAAAACATTCTTGAAGACAGAGAAGAAAATATAGCAGTTGTGATTATTGATCTTCTGGCAGAGGCTTTGAAAGCAGACTGAGCAAAGATGCAAATGGAGATAGATGAAATATTTCGAATGAATTCAAGCTACGCAAGGAAATATAAACTATGCAGAGAAGTTCATGTAAGATTTATAAAGAAAACAACAAGAGATGAAATACTGAGAAAAGTCAGAGATGAGCCATTACAATACAAGAATAAAGAAATTGTGGTTTTAAAGCAGATCCCCAAGAGAGTAAGAGATACCTGAAGACAATATCACTTCCTAACTACAAAGCTAATTGCAAAAGGCATAAATTTCAGATGGTTAATGCTAGAAAGGATCTTAATCAACTGGAATAATACAAGATACCAGTTGGACTCAGTTTGGAAAGCAGAAGACTTTAATGAAAGAAATCGAGCATTCTTAGATGAAGGAATGCAATATCGACAAGAGGAGAGAAAAGATCAGAAACAAACAGAAGAAGCAACTATACAAACAGTAGAACAGAAAGAGAAACTTGATCAAGAGAGTGAAGGAACTACCAGAGAACAGAGGACCACGAGGTCGACAAGACCTAAATATAAATAATTGAAATGGAGAAAGAAAATGGAATTTTTTCAGTGAATATAAACTAACAAACAAAGCTTATATTTGATTTTGCATGTTACAACAGTGGCATATATTCGTGCAATATTCGAAAAATGAAGGAATACCATCAGATGAAGAAATAATTTTTAAAAATACTAGAATGCGCAGAGATGGATAGACTGACTATGAGACTGAAAGAAAAAGAAGAAATGGAGTATTACCAAACTTGGGACTTATTTTATCAATGGCTAGAGGAAAGAATAAAGGATTAGGAATTAAATATGTATTAGCGAATGTAAACTCAGACAGCACGCTTGTTGAACAAATATTACTGAATGCATGGGGGGGAAAAGACAATAAAAACTTTTTTTTTTTAAAAAAAAAAAGGCAGTTTAGGTTGTATTTCAACCACATGTACCTTCTTGGTACCCTTGCAAGACAGATCCTAGAATGAAAGATATATTTAATTCTTCTGCATGTTGCACTTGTTAAAGAATCCCTCCTGTTGCTCGGGGAGGTTGTATTTTAATAACATAAGAACAAAAAGGGCAAAAGGGACATTCAGATTTCTTGGCAGATTGAAGTAGATTTCATCTTTATATATTAAGGGATCTGCACATCTCCTCCTCTTTAGCACCACCTCATCCTGGGAATAATGTTAACCTGGAGGATGGAAGCTTAGGAAAAGCTGATCTTTTTCCTCAGAGTTGGATGTTTTGGGCTTGGCTGCCAATCACCTTTGTCCTTATTTAATTTTCTCTTTTAGCCAACAGCCCTTGAATCTGCTTGTTCTCTCCACAACTCAGTTCCCAGGCCTTCTGCTGGGCCATCCTGTATCTTAGCTAGCAGCTAGGTTGTCTTCCTTCCCTTTTTTATTTTGCAATGTAAAAGATTCAGCATACATTGGGACTCAAGTAGAGTTCCAAGTTCCCACTGGATTGGACTCCTTCACCGACAAATTACATTAATCATTAAAATGATCTAATGCAGGGCTAGGCAACCTTGGCTCTTTTATGACTTGTGGTTGGCTGGCTCAGGAATTCTGGGAGTTGAAGTTCATGAGTCATAAAAGAGCCAAGGTTGCCTACCCCGGTCTAATGGATCATTGTTTGGAAACAGAAGCTGAAGAAAGGGACCAAAGCAGAGGCTAATGGTCAATGAAGTCTGATATCCTTTCCTATATACTAATCCCAACCTAAACTGGTTCTTAATTGATCCCAAAGGTATTTTTCCAAAAGACAAGTGGACTTTCTTGGTTTTTTTCCTTGAAAACATTTTGCTTCTTATCTAAGAAGCTGTTCAGATCTGAAGAATGTCAGAATTGAAGAAGCTTCTTGAATGAGAAGCAAAATTTTTCAAGGAAAAAAACCAAGAAAATCCATTTGTCTTTTGGAAAAGCACCTTTGGAACAACCATGACCTGGATGCTTGAGAATCTCCATAGAATTATTTCTTAACGTTAAAATAAAAGAGGAAAGTAACTAGTAACTCTGTCTTTAAAGTTAAATGGCTCGGCTCATCTTCTAGATTCTCGCTGCTACTTTGCATAGCTGAGGTTTTTAGAATCAACCTTACAGGTATTCTCTTCTGGTGAACATTTTAATTTTAGATATTGAGCTGGATTTGTACATGCTTAGATTTACTCCAGACTACTGGAAAAAAAAACCACCATTCATTTTAGGCCACAGCTTGCTACCACACATAACCGGTCAGGTTTGAAAGCCCCAAAAGGAATTTGGTAAATTGTCTTAGATGGTCTATCCTGAAATAACCCCTTGGTTTTGGGGAAGTTCCTGTACACCCATCTCATAATCCCATCACTACCTCTTAACATTGCAAAGTAGAAATGTAAAGATTTCCATGAGTTGAGCTCAGTTCTGGTGATGACCTGGTGAGATCCAAGAAGTTTCTTTTGGGAACAATATTGAATTTACCATTTTCTTCTTCTGGGTTGCTTTTTAAAAAACTTTCCTAGCCTAGCCTACAGTACTATGATATTGTGATGGGTCATATCCTCTTAGTGACCAGGTCCATCAAGCTTTTCTTAAGCTCAATAAGTTGCTGCTATCTGCAATGACAATTCAAGGTGCTGATTGTCACCTTTAAAGCCCCTCACGACTTGGGACTGGGTTATCTGAGGGATTGTCTCTTCTCGGTTTCATCCACCTGACCAGTGGTGGGATTCAAATATGTGAACAACTGGTTCTCTGTGTGGACGCCACTTCCAGAAGTCCACTCTGGACCTGGGGAACAAAAAATTAGCTAGCAGTTCTGCCAAACTGGTGTGAACTGGCTGAATCCCACCACTGCACCTGACCCACCAGAATGGTGAGGCAGGAATGTTGCTGGTCCCATCCCCTAAGGAGGTACATCTGGCTGGACCCAGAAGAAGGGCCTTCTCCATAGTAATTTCCTCCCTTTGGAATATCATCCCTTCAAAAATTAGACTGGCCCCCATTAGGGCCCTGAAGACTTGGTTCTGCCAACAAGCCTGGGGAAACCAGTGTGGGATGGAGCCCATCTAGTGGCTCATTTGATTGTGTGTTGTCGTCAGAGGGGTGGGGAGTTATTGTTTTTTATTCTTTTATATTGGTTTTTTTTAAAATTTTTTGTAAGCCACCCAGTGTTACTGCGAGTGAGTGGGCAACCATATAATTCTAATAAACAAACAAACAAACAAACAAACAAACAAACAAACAAGCATCTGACAATGCTTTCCTGCCTAT